AAAGAACACCCTTGCAGTAATAAAATACTTGCCCTAGCATTGTTTAGGTTCAATATCTCTTCTGTTTCATACAAGAAGCTCTTGAATGCTGGATGGACCAGGTTTTGAGATCTGCACTGTTTGTTCACTTTTTCCTTTTTTTTGGGATTATACAACATGCAGCCAAAATACCCGGTAAGAAAAAAAGATAATAAGAACCATTTTTTTTAGTTGTAATTAACTCCAATGTTGGTTCAGCCCTTCAAATATGCCTAAGAAATTGTACTCAAATATGACATAGAAATTGCAACTCACAAATGTCAGAGAGTATAATAGGATTGATAAGCACAAAACTACAAACAAATTAGCTTTAAGTTCAAACATGTTTCTTTCAGACCTGTGAAAAACTAGTAGAATCATATGAGGGCCAAAGAATTCGAAGGTTTACGATGGCCAACTTTTAACCACATAAACTTAAGTAAAGAATTCGAAGAATCACTGAGACAGTGAAACTCTGCTAAGTCTCAATGAAAGGCTTCTACACATAAAATTCAAGAAAAGGATGCCGAGTTCTGGAATTCAAGAAAAGGATGCTAAGTTCTGGAATTTGTTAAGTACTAATATAAGTTAAATTGCCTGGGCCAAAAACGGTAACTATTGGTGACTACCTGATCAATTCAGCTAGGGGCCTAAATGGATCATGCAATTTGGATTCCAACAAATTTGCCAAGAAAGGCACGGAAAATATGAAAAAAACCCAAAAGTTAGCAAATGGAAACATTATTTGGATTTCAGCAAATTAAGCATCTTTGATTTTAAAAATATAAAGCAGATTATAACATTTCAAAAAAATATAAAGCAGATATATATAGGGAACAAAAGCATCACATAACAAACCAAAGTAGATATGGCATCAGAAGTTTAAAGCATGAAATCACATGTAGAATGCACTAAGTGGCTCATGAAGAGTTGCTAAGCATGAGCGTGTAAGAGAATTTCACATGTGAAATCAATGTTGATCTTATCATGGGTACAGACACCATTAAGAGAGAAAATGGGTACAAGATCCATTAAGAGAGAAAAAAAAAAACACGATTAACAACTTCAGAAGAGAGAAACATGTGCAGCTGCCAGAACACTGCAACATTACAATCCCAAAACTTCACATCATTAGCAATGTGAAGGCCAAAGTAGTAAGTAATGAGGCAGAAAACAATGGCCAAAATTTATAGTTAAAACAAATTATTCATGAGAAGGATCTCAAATAGCCCATTGACTAAAATAATTAGCCTTATCTCATGTTTCTGAGTAATTTGACCAGAAAATATTTTATCCCATAGCATCATGACACGCACCTCAAAGATAACCCGGAAATGCTTTTTGTTTATGCTATCTTTCAATCTGCAAGCACATGGAATACATGTTCAGTGGGGAGTCTCAAATGAATGTTGCAAATACAAATACAGCAAGTACATAATAAAAATCTATTGATGGATCATCTAAAGAGGATTTGACCAATAAATACACAAAGAAACAAAGAGACAGAAAATATCTTCGAATAAACAATTGGGTAGATACAATCTATGAAACTTCTAAATTATACAAGAGTGAGAGGGTTATTAGGTAAACCAACGGGCCATTGAAATAGAAAAACTAGAGAATGTAATAGGCCCAGAGTTGCATCAAAGGTTTTTATATTTGACCCACACAGAAGCAAGTGTCAAATATTGTTTACAGTAGTTCCCAATCAAGAAGTGGATACATAGAAATGAAATGAGTAACATGTAAATACTTAGAAATTCCTGCATCATTTCAGCAAATCTGCAACTTTCAGCTCGATTGAGAAGAAAGTTAACGGGAAGCTAAAATTATTAGACCAGAAAACTAACCAGAACATTGAATTCACCAGAAAATAGATATTAAAATGAGATATATTAAAAATAAAAAATAAAAATAAATAAAAAACCGTAAAGAATCAAAGACCAGACCGGAGTTCGAGAAATCCTTCACGAATAAGTATCACTTTGGTGCAAAAATCTCATCCCAAAACAATACAAAATTTCTTTCTCAAAAATTGCAACAAATAATCCTATAAAAACCACCACGCTTGATAGGGACACCAACTTCCATGAAAATGACACTATTTGAAAAGCCAATGCATAATAAAAAATTTAAACTACTACGTTTTCAATTTTTAACTACAATTTCTCATTTATAATTGCTGGAGGTGTGAATACAAATTAGCGACCAAAAATAAAAATGTAGATCTCTAGACTTATAGATTGGTAGAGATCAGATTTAGACTAAATGATTAGCAGTTGACATTAACAATGCTACCTCTCATGTTCAATTCTTTCCACCGAACAATCCGAAGAAAAAATGAAAAATAATTCAATTCCTTCCACTGAACAATCCAAAGAAAAAATGAAAAATAAACAGAAGATATATAGGTTGGCATCTTCTCCAATGAGTCACGAGAGTTAAAGGAAGTAGCTTAAGATGCTGCAGCTTTGCTCCAACCTGGCCCAAATCGTTTTTATTAGGTAGAGACTAAAGAAATAGGGGTCTTCCAAAAAAGCGTACGGTTATGATAAGAGAAATGATTTGCTCGCACTGTATACCAATAAACATTAGGTTTGGCCTATAGGATTTGAATTAGCACCTATGCTCCTTGTGTGA